AATCAAATCCACATAAACTGATAGTACAGTATAAAATACAACAAAACACCTTCAAATATTTAAACAAACTGTTTTGGATACTTTCAAACAGTATTCAAAACAGTTTATTCAAATTTGTTTTCAGTTCTGAATGTTTGCTTGCCTGATGAAGGTCTTCTAAGGTCAAAAACATTTGATTATTAAGCAATTTGCTGGTTTTGAAGATATTCTAGTGTTGTTAGTTACTTCCATTACAAAATTCAATTAAATTAAATAATGATTATTGTACACATCTATGGAAACAATTATTGGATCAAAACTAGCAGAGCTAAGAATGAAACATTTAAACTATCAATTAAACCAACAAACTGGAATTATATTTTTAACTAGATTTTTAGATGATATTTGTATAATACAGTATATAATGAATTTGAAAATATAGAAAATATTTGTAAAATAAAAAGTACATTTACTGGGTAGTTTAATTCTGTATATAGACATAGGAAATACCCAGTTCAGTTTGCATTCCAAAAGGAATTTAACCCTTTGGAGGACATGCCCACAGCAAATTGCCACAAAATTTCAATAATTTATTGTGTAAGAACATTGTACATAAATATTGCAGTTTTGGTCTTCAATATTCTGCATTCATACCATATGACACCATTTACATATCAAATGGTTTTCTGTGTTTATCCATTTTGTTGTTTTTTAGCTTTGAATTAGGAGATACTCTATCTGTGACGTACTTGTCACTACATGCCTCGTGATATAAATATAATTTGTGCTTACTTTTTTATTCATTTTTTAAATGTATTTGAAAGAGTTGCTTACATTTTGCATATTTATTGCATATATATCTTTATTTAACAATGTCATAGGTTTCAATAAATTTTTAGACTTATATTAGTTTGAAAATATACCAACAGCTTTTGAGATGGCTAAATTTTCATGATGTTTCTTGCTTTTATACAACTTTGACTCAGAAACAGTTGAATGGTGCTTTAGAACAAGTTGTCAAAAAACTGATAGGAAAAAAGAAAAAAGTTGTAAGAGAGTGATTATGACATTGATTCTAAGTAAGAAAATAGGAAGATTGTAGAAGATAATTAGGACAGTGAGTCCAAACAATTGGCTAAGCAGACAGATGACTTTTGTAGAAGATAAGAATAATTGAACAAAATTCACCTGTCAAAACTGTGGTAAAAATGTTTGAAAAAAACTCAATTACTAAATGTGCCAGGTATAAAGGGAAGCAACAGATTGAAATGGAGTGACATATTTTTAATTATCTAAATGCTTTATAACTACATTTGTTCAACAATTTTAGAACTGCAAAACTAGGTCATATATGACCTAGTTTTGCAGTTCTAAAATGAAACAGATGACTTAGTAATTTAATATAAAATTTACATATAGCACATATGAAAAATTATAGTTTATACATACATAACTTTAAATACATAATGCTTGATGTACCCAGACCATAGAAACAAACAAGTTTCTGGATTCCCTGAAATCTTGTTTATCTGACTGACCCTTGGTCCCATCACATTCATATATTCAAGTTTCCACTGTATGTAAAATTTCCATATATAAAAGGGTAGTTTGAGAAAAAAAAATCCTTAAAGATATAATATAATCTCAGCACACAAGGTATTAAACTGTTGAAATATAAGAAAGATAATTGAAAAGAAAAAGACCTATTGAAATAATTTGAAGTAATCTATTACATGCAGAAAAACTAAAGTTTACATCAGAGAAACAGATATAAAGCTAGAAAACCAAACAAAACAAAAGTTAATATATAGATATGGACTGTTTATTTTGAAAGTGGTGCAAGTCCATTTTTTCTTCTTTCAAAATATTTAAATGTTTGCATTTTAGTCGATTCAAAAAATATAGTGTACTAAGTTTGACAATGTTTCTATGACTTTAGAAATATGTAAGTTGATTACATAAAGACTTCTATGTGAATTTAACTAAACTAATATATTCTTTCTGGGCTGAAATGGACTTACACCACTTTCATAATTATTGGCAATTTTTTCCAAAAATGGACTTATACCACTTTCAAAATAAACAGCCCATATAATAACTGTTTATTTACATTTCTCTGAAAATGACTGTACTATAGATATGAAAACTACAAAAAATCCTGAAAAAGAATACAGTAGATCCCCCTATAAAACTGTTTCCTATAGTTATGATTCCTATAAATATTGTGGCAGTATCCGTAAACAACGGTAAAAATAACTCCTATAATACGTAAAATGTCATCGGGCAGCCGAACTACTTTCCCGCCGCCCGTAGCGCCACGCTACGGACGTTTAGGCAGATAAATTGAGTTTAGTATCGTCTGTTCATATATTTATATATAAATTAGGTACTGTACATATAATTATATATTAATTATATATAAATTAGGTACTGTATATATAATTATATATTAACTTAATTTATTGTAACTTTATTATAATTAAATATATATTTTTCGCCGTCTAGCGTCACGCTACGGCGAGTTAGGCGACCTATCGTCTGTCCAGTACTGTAATTTTATACATTTCTTGTGAAAGAAACATTTCTTATTTAACGGCCATAAAAATTATTTATATTAAGGATGTCTCCAAAGGTCAACAAAGTTTTCGCAGAAAAATAATATCAGAAATCGCGGCCGCGGTTTGAGCGCTGTTCCACGACGAAACCAAGCTTTAGCAACGGGCGTAGTCGAACGGTACACACTCGGTAAGCAATCCTACAATTTTTTGTTTATAGCGTAGTTTATATGGATTATTTTCAAAAAAATATACGTGTTTTGGAAATGTTGAGTCGAATTAGTCTAGAATCGATTAATTTTATGAAAGAAAACCTTTCAAACAGCCGTAGTCCGTAAACTATGATTCCTACAAAATTGATTCATAAAGAACGGTACGTATCTACCGTCTTATAGGGGGATCTACTGTATATGATATGTATAAATGGAGAATAAAAATAATACATTTAGAGAATTTTTTCATATATATTGAGGAAGAGAAAACGATCCAATAAAGTTGCTTTCATATAAAAAAGTGAGAGTTGGTTTCTAGAATATCATCTTTGAATACAAGTTTGTAATTTACATTTATGAATTATAATTTTTTTTATAACACTTACATTATATTCTCTATATACCTTTTCTATCATTCCAAAACTCAGTAATTTAAACTACAATAGAAGTTTGTTAATCTGGAATCCACAAGACCCAAGTGGTGCTGCATTATCAAGAATAATAAATTACCGGATGATTTTGTATTCGGAAACAAATTAAAACTTTATAATGCCAGAAAAATAATGGTTTAAGTTTACCTTGGTAGTCCCAAGAGCCACACTTCGGTTAGGTTAGGTTAATTACATTTTTAGTAAACGTTTCCTTTTTTTCTGTTTGCTGGGTTCAAGGGCAGTAGGCACACCTAATGTAACCTAACCGAAGCACCACCATTGTACTACCAAGGTAAACTTCAACCAAAATAACTTTAGTATTGGCCATACTAAAGTTATTTTTTTTTCTTTTATAATTAATTAATTATAGTAATAGTTACTGTTTTTTCCTTATCCTGAGGATAAGGAAAAAACAGTAACTATTACTAAGTATACCTATAAAACAATTTGCATATAAAATATTTTGTGAAATTAAGTTCTTTTATTAATTTCAAATTTCACTTCTTCAAGACTAAATGCACTCAATTACCATAGAATATAAACAAAGTTGAATATTCAAATTTCATATTTGTAAATTTAAACTTTTAATATTAGACAAATCCATATTATATCAAATATACTTTTAGGAAAAAAGTCTACAGAGGAATTAAGAAACTTTTATAGATAATTATTGTGTTATGTCCGACACTTTATTAATTGATATAGAACAAAATTATATATTCCATTAATAGCTATTCTTAATATGGACAACTCAAAAGATCACACATATTACAAACCTGTCAGATATATAAATGCATGCATTAAAATGAGGAATCAGTGGCAAGTATTAAAAGTAAACAAAATTCTCTCTTCCAATGATAATATTCCTAGATTATAATATCAAAACATACAAGTGACAAACAGACAGAAATCATAGCTCAAATTGTGCTTTCTATCAATATTGTTACTCTCAAAATTTTACATAAAGAATGAGACTGTGCAAGAACAATCCTATATTCAAATGCATAGTAATTTAAAACATTTGCAACACATAAGCAAACTAAATTCATATAGAACTATCACTTAATATTCACACTGATGAGATACAAACCTTGTAATTTCTACAAAAAGTTATTTAATACTCTGCATCTGGCTACATAGTAGTTAGTTTTAAGATTAATTAGCAATTAAGCAATGAATCTCAATAATAATATTTTTATCTTTGATTTTAATAAAAAAAATATAATGCTTTTAAAGTGTTATATTTGAAAGTCTTATTTTAAAAGCTTAACATTTCAAAAGTTTTATCCTTATATTCTATTAAAATTAAGAGCATGTGTTAATTATTCCAGAAATATTTTAATAAAAATTAATGTCAAACTGTTACAAGATTTATTTTATGTGAAAATGTTAACATTCTAATGAGTATTTTATACACTGACAAAACAGTTTGACAAATCTAAAACAGAATCTCCTCCGAAGATCGAAAACAAAATTCATATAAGCAAACAAACAACCCGAAGCAGGATTCTCAAAAAAGCAGGGAACATTTATAACACATACATCCCCTGGAAAAGTAAGCAAAATATGTTTATCATTATATATACAATGACAAATATAAACTACAAATATTATCAAAATATAATACTTCACTTAACTTAAAATTTTATATTAAAAAATATATCAAAATCTTATTAATAATAGCATGCCTTAACTATGTATTAATAAAATTTTGAACTATTTATAGTTATATACAAATGTCAATTGAAAGCAATCAATATTTTTCTGGATTAAAATTATAAATAAAGTATAACGTTAACTCATTATTGAATATTGTTTCATACCTCGCCTGATTATTATCCTGCACGGCATAAGTAAACTGATATCCGGAAACAACTCTTTCGGGCGTATCCTCGTCGTCGCACAGTTTATTAGTCGGGCAAGGTACTTTCCGCAGAAAATCTTGGGTGCCGTCTTCGTTACAATAACTATCATAGGCAATGGTGTCTATCTTGCGAAACATATCTCGACAGGCAATAGATTTATTGGGCAAATTTCTCTTTTGGTAAAACTCCAGGAAATATTCTCTATCCACAACCACAAAAGTTGCTTTATGTATATTGCTGGCATTCTGTATTTCGGTTGTAATATTTCCGTATATAAAGCCCAGTGTATTTATTCTGTCGTGTATGTCTGTCTTTTGAAAACCGAACTTAGCCAAAAATCGAAAGAACTGATCGGTATGAAAATTTCCATTTAAATGCAGACCCAAAATAGGGTACAATTGAACGATAAATAGGAAGAGATACAAATTCATTGCTAAATTTACCGTACATCACACTTTTTATATTATCTTAGAATAAATAGATTTTTTATAATATTTCACCTTACCATCTGCCACTTTTTTTATGATAAGATTAATTTACCGGCGTTGGAGTAATCAGCTGTACTAGATGCTACTCTCCGACACACAGTACGTACTAAGGAAAAAGTAAAACAAATCATTTTTTCTTATGTTTAATTTCATTGGTTAATTAAATGTCGACGTTTTCGTATCAGCCAATGATATTATTTTTATTTAAAAAATTTAATATGAAATTGATGAACTTAATTGCCGGCTGACGTAATCTTGTCGTCACACATAGCGACGTTGATTGGGAAAGTTAATGAGATAAGCGAAACAATTTTTTATCCATTTAAAATATAATAAAGAAATTAATAATTATTAATAATTCGTAATAAATTAAAACTTTAAATAAAATATTTATACATGTTGAAAAATTACTTTTATATTTATTGACATTTTTGTTTGATATTGCAATATCTTTTTTTAACCTTGTTTCGAAATTTTCTCAGAAATGCAGTTTGAACTGTTATTTAGAGCATGAAAATAAGAAATGATTTAAATATTTTCCTCTTTAAAATTACGAATTTATTACAAAAAAAAAGAGTATTTGGATTATTAATGATTGTCGGTACTTAAAACTTCGTAGTTTTAAAGTTTAATTGGATGGAAACAATACAGTCGACCCTCCTATAACACTGTTGATTATTCCATTTTATATGAATTCCATGTTGTACGAGTCGCTTAGATTTTATAAATACGTGTGCCGGGCTGTGAACGGCTCACGTATTTGTAAAATCTAAGTGACTCGTACAACATGGAATTCATATAAAACGGAATAATCAACAGTGTTAAAGGAGGGTCGACTGCATCTTAAATGATGATTATGTAAGCATAAATGTCTTACGTGAAACATTTGGCACTGTTTCACGTGGTCAAGGTCATAGATAGATCCAAAAAACAAAAAAATCGTGTTCTTTTTAGAGAGAGAATAAATTAATTTTATACTTTAAAGATCATAGTTCAAGCAAAGAACTTTATCTATTAAAAGATATTTGTAAATTATAAATTATTCGAACCAAGAATTTAATGTTTTAATTTCTTAAATGACTAGCGTATAATTTCAATTACGAAATCAATGGACTAAGTGTTCTTTAATTAAATCAAAAATTGTATTCTTCAAAAGTATAAAATCTACTTTTTAGCGAGGTTGCGGCCTAAGTTTACAACGAAAAAACGTGTTCAGCGTAAGCCTAGAAGTTGACAATGGCGTTTGGATGCTCGACGTTCCAAACGCCATTGTCAAACTTATAGCCTTACGCTTGTAACGCCATTTTTGTTTAATATTTAATACCGTCGCAGATAAATATTGTAAAACCAGTGGTGTCATAACTAAGGTTTTCATCTGCCCTTTGCATGGTTTTATTTTTGCAACCTTACAGGGTTGCAAAATTTTAAAGCCTTGCAAAGGGCAGATGAAAAGCTTATTGAATTTTTTGAGTGGAATAATAATAATAATAATAATAAAACAAATATGATAAAACAATTTCATAGTTGTCAACTCTTCACCTTTCGGGCTGAGAATTTGCCTTTGGAGGCAATTGTAGAAAATCTCCGCCTTTTTCAGATAATATGAGCACCTTTAATACATTGTCTTCACAAAAATGAATTTACTAGAAATCCCAAGTTAACTTGTGTGGTTCTTTTAGAAATTGTCCACTCTCCAACATTAACATTTTCTTTCATTTTAACGTTGCCGTACGCGTATGAGAATATCAATACAGGCTTTAAATTTCTGATTAAATTATAAAAAATTAATCTTTTTTAATTGCCGCGTAAGGAATTTTGTCTCAAAATGTGATAGATATACGAGATATTCTGCTCTTTGGTACCAGAAAGTCAAATTTCAAAGTTCTTGTAAATCTAAGTCGCATGCCAAAATCATTCTATAGGCTATAAGGAATTATTTATTTTTGTAATTTTTATAGATAATTAACTTTTTATATAATACTAGCTGTACATGCCACGCGTTGCTGTGGCTCAAAATGTATCTATATAAAACTTAGACTATAAAACTCCACGCGGGAGGATATCAAATATACTTTTAGGAAAAAAGTCTACAGAGGAATTAAGAAACTTTTATAGATAATTAACTTTTTATATAATACTAGCTGTACATGCCACGCGTTGCTGTGGCTCAAAATGTATCTATATAAAACTCCACGCGGGAGGGAAATTCGAAGAAATCCCTTCTTAGTGTACATTCTCTTGACGTACCCTATTAAAACGCAATCAAAACGCAAAAAACCGCATCTAAAATAGTATAATAGAAGCGGAGTTCTTCACAGTCAGCCTTAATCCTGTCTCTCTTCCCCGCGGGGGGAATTTCGACATCTATATAATATAAAAACACGCACGTATTCGAATGCAATGTTCTGTCAAAATTTCAAAACAATTGGTTAAGAACTTTCGAAGATTTAAGATTTTGAACAAACGAACATTTACATTTTTATTTATATAGCTTTATTATATACGTATATGGGAAGGCCGGATGGTCGAGCGGCTAAGGTGGCAACCTCGCTGTGGAGTACCTGGGCTCGAATCCAAACTGGTTCGAAAAAACCCCACGAAGCTTTCGGGGATGGTCCGTCCGGATATGTCGGGCTCCGCCCCTCACCACCCAGGCCCAGGCCACCCCCACCCAGGCCCAGGCCACCCCATTGTGGCCCTGGCCAAACCCATGATGGGTTTGCTAAAAGAGGCCCTCTAAGTGCCCACAGGTCGGAAAGAGTTAAAATATATATATATATATATATATACGTATATGATACAATGTACTACTAGGAGAACTTCGTCCCCCACTGAAGCGAGGCGACGGCTTGCAAACTTGTTAGATTATGGGCATTAAATAAATTAAAGGACGCGTCATTCTGCATAAGCAGTCAATTCTTACCTTTGTTCTAAAACTTCCTTAATTACATACAGCAATAATTGTTACATTGTTAATTGTGCCACTGTTAAGATAGTTACTACACACAACATTACTGTATTTAACAAAAAATCACAGAAATAATTAATAGAATTCGATTGGAATTTTTCCCATAAACTATAGACTTACGACGGGAATCCGAAACTCTACTGTATATACTGCCGTTATTGTTTTGAAAATTTTTTATGCAAGGTATAATACGTCAGCTTATACAGTATTGCGAAATTTCCGTTACAAACTTACAGGATAGGTTCCTTACGAAAAACCTAAGATAAAAATGTTCAGTAACATTTTTCGAATACTGTATAACCTTTATTAAGGAGTTACAGCGTTTAAGTTCAGTGACGTTACTTCTGGATTTTCGTACAAATGAGGACAAATTCATGTTTTATTTTATTTAAATTGAAATGTTCTGCGAACAATCGTAAGTAGATTTATCTTTAACTTTTATCCTTTAGTAAATATTACATACTTTTCATTATATCTGAGAGGCCTTTTTTCTTTTTCTTCTTTTTTTTGTACTCTCTCCACACTGTGGGCACTAAGAAAGTCTCTTTTAGCAAGTCTATTATGGGTTCAGTCAGGCCCACAATGGGGCGGCCGGGTGATGAAGACGGGGGCCGACATATCCGGTCGGATCACCCCCAAAAAAATTTCTGGAGATTTTTCAACCCAGTCTGGTTTCGATCATGGGTCCCCCAGAATGGTAGTCTGCCACCTACACAGCTTGGTCATCCGGCTGACCTATCTGAGAAGCCTGTTCTGGTACATTTGCTCAAAAGTACCCGTGTTTTGAATTTTGTGTGCTTCGACCATAATTTGTACAAGCAGATCTTTCTCCGACTTTATAGGGATCTCGCAAATAAGATTCTTTATAAGGCCCCAAAGGAAAAAGTCTAGTGGTGTTAAATCCGGTGATTGTGGAAGCAAAGATATTGGGCCATCTCTCAAATGTTGGGTAGAGATGATCACGGACGACGTTTTCAAAGTGTGGTGGTAGGTCATTGTGTTGAAACCACATTTGTTGCCAAATGGTCAATGACACATCTTCCAATAACTCGGGCAGTAGTTCTTATAGAAAGGCCAAGCAAGTACTTGTAACCTGTTAGGTGGGATGGAAGAAAGTGTGAGATTAGCCGAGGGCCAAAGGGATGATCCCTAATGACCACTTAATCGGCACGGGTTGGTAAAACCCGATCTCTGTCTGTTGGATGGCTAGGAGGGCTATTGGTGGAGTGGGGAGGTCGCTGAGTAAGTCAATAAGTGTCGAACGCTTGATAGAGACAGGTAGCCAGGATATCAAATAAAAATATAAGTTTAATATAAACGTCTAAATCTAAAGATACGCAGAAATGCGGTACAGTCGACCCCCCTATAAGATATAGATACGTTCCAATTTATTAGGAATCCGATTTCTTACAAGTCGTTCCAATCACAACCCGACACGTGTCAAGTTTACGGACTATGGCTGATTGAAAGGTTTTCTTCCATAAAATTAATCGATTCTACACTAATCCAACTCAACATTTCCAAAATACGTATATTTTTTCGTAGTTTTATAGGAATCGTAATTATAGGGACCGTAATTATCTATTCGCTTTTGAGAGTTTACAGAAATGCCTCAGAGAGAGATATGGTTCTCTGTTTTTGTGGAGGTTGAGCCGTAATTGATTCCTTCTATTCCCAAGTTGATAATCGACTTTCTCCTTTTTTAACACTGAGTTTCTTATCGTTTAGTACTTGGATGTTGTATTTCTCAGCCAGTTGTTGATAGTATGAGTGATATTCAATATGTTTCCTGTGCGATGTTTTCTTCACAATCGCAATGAAAAAATAGGCTTAAGATTTTTCTTAATTTTACGAAAAATTGCGCCTCGATCCTCACAAGTATGGCCCAATCAAACAACCAGCAATGATACTTGCCCAACAATGATGCCGAACCTTTCCTGGAATCTATAGAAATGTTTAGCATACGGTCATTCTTCAACCTAAATGTGACTGTTTCAAGAGTTGAGAGCTCTTCCCTGGGAATTTGTCTTCATCTGTGAACAAACTTAACTTTTTTTAAACTCTTCCCGCCCTGTGGGCACTAAGAGGGCCTTCATTAGCAAGTCCATTATGGGTTTGGCCAGGCTCACAATGAGGCAGCTGGGTGGTGAGGGATGGGGACCGACATATCTGGACAGACCAACTCCTGAAAAATTTCTAGGGATTTTTCGACCCGTCCAGATTTGATCCCAGATACCCTAGAGCGGTAGTCTGCCACCTTGAAAGCTCAGCCATTCAGCCATCGAATGAAATTAGCTGTAGGAAATTGGGAAAATTCACACAAGGGTCTAGAGACTATCTGCAGAAGTCAGCATGTGGCTTAATATCGGCTGGATTCATTGCATGAACCATCTCGTGGTGGTAAGGACAGTCGATAGATATATTGATATATAGTGCTGTTTTCAAGGGTTCCTTGATCTTCTGTACTGCTTTATTGTGTTCATAATACCAGTGCCATTCAACATTATTAGAAATGAGCTGGTAAAATAGTGCTGTCAACTGTGAATGTTTGGACATAAATTTGGCCAAAGTTTACCATGCCCAAGAATCTTCGTAGTGATTTTCATATCTGTCAAGTTTTTCATCTGATCAATTGCCCATACTTTTAAATCAATTTTCAAACCTTACAAACTTGGAGTTGTATTATCCATGAAAAATTATATGAATTTAAATCAAAATCAAATAAATAGACCTCCATGATGTAGGTAGACCCTTACGGCATGGCTGACTAGATGACTTCATTTTATGAAGTCACATATAATTTGGTTTTATCTATTTATGTTTAATTGAGAGAAGTTTGAACAAGCATATTATTGTAATTACTACTACAGAATATTTTAATTAAATGGTAATATGTACAGGATGTGTCAAAAGTCCCTTGTGCCCTTTTCATTCTGAAAGCATTGAAGATATATTAATAACAAAGTAGTTACATAAGATGTATGTATGGAATAAATATATTAACAGTTCAGTGTTGGCAAACCTTTTTCCAAGAGTGGGCCAAATATTTAATTTGAATAATTATAAAATAACAAAATGATGCTTCCAAATTTTAATCTATCAGAAAAATAACAATAAATTATGCAAGTGTAAAGATAATAATAATGTGATTATAATGGAAAGAAGCAAATGATCATTTGATGTGTAATGAGCAATTATTTATTGTGACATCGCCACAATGTCAGCCTGCAATTTTTAATTTTATTTAAAATATATGCTCTCCACCTCAAATTAGTAGCAGCTTGCTCCTGTACATCATACTTTCCCTTTAACAATAGAGTCGTGCCAGTCATCTATATAACACCTTTTAGGAGAAAATTTTTGAATTGAAATAAACTTCCAGTTTGCATCATAAATTTGTGTATTGTTAAGTGTGACCTCCTGCCTTTAAGGTTTCCATATCTGGTCTCATCTTTCATCTAATTCTATTCTAAAGACCAAATAAAGACATACAGACTAAAGTGGGAATTTATAGGTCTACAATTTTTTTTCAAATTGCAGCCCAAAATATATATATTTTATTTGAGAAATCTTCTGTTGTTTATTTAATGATAATTTTTCTAAGAGTTTATAGTGACCTTTAAGACTTTTCACAACAGCCTTAGGACTCTACTTTCACACTACTTAAGCAGTTTTGAACTCTATCAAATATATTTTTGTAATTTTAAAAAAAACTTAATACTTTCAAAACATTCAATATAGGGACCTAGAAATTGTCACATGGGGTCACAGTTTGCCATCACTGACATAATTGTTTGAATAGGATTTTTCAACTATTATTATTTCAGTTAATGTATGTAACTATATTTCATAAAATTGAAGTCAAATGTAAATAAAACACACTCCTTTATTACATAATTATCTGAAAGATTAATTTTTACAATTATTTTTTATGTAAACTTTTAAACATTTTGTATTTCAAATTTTTTTTAAGAATTTATCAGAAAGTAACAAACACTGGAAGCTGCTCAACAAATATTTTCTGCATATATTTTAAGGAAATTTAAATCAGCATGACTGTATTTGGTAATAGATCTTGGCAATTGTTCACAAACACTTAAAGCAATGAATTAAACTGTGGATAAAAATGACAATAAAATGGAGGATAGGATTCTATTATCATAATATAATTTCAGTATTTCAACTTAGAATAATTTGTAAATTGTTATTCATGTCCATCTAAAAAAAATCTATTTAGATAAAGTTTTCATTTTTATATAATGTCAAGAATAAAAAGAGTTTAGTTCAGGATAACTTTAGATCACATTTTCACAGTTGCTCATAATTTTTCTAAAATCCATAAACAATTTTGGATCAGCTTTATAAACTATACCACTCAAATTCATACTAATAACAGTTTTTATATAATGTTCAAATAAAAATTTAGATAATTTTATAGTTTCAATACAGAAAGGAGATTTCTATTGGAAAATTTCTAACACTAAAATACAATTTTAAGAAATTTTTTTAACATACAAAGTAAACAATTTCAGAAATTCTTAACAGTATATAAGATTAAAATGAACAACTATCTCATTTGGTTGAAATGTATTTTTTATTCATGCTATTGCACTTCTAAGCAATTTCTCACATTGATAAAACTGTTTACTTCTCAGACTGTTCACATAAACAGTAATAAATCCCACATATAATGTACAGACTTTTTACATGTAAATTACACATTATGTTATGGGCTAATTTTATCTGAAGCAAAATTTTAGTGGCTAAAATATTAATATCACATATGGCTTTAACCAAAATTACAACATTTAAATAAATTTTCATTTACATTTTTTTCATGAATAACACAATGTATTTGTCATCAACATGATATGATTAAATTTATATGACTATAATCGAATTCATTTGTTTAGCACTTGCTAAAATATAATTATATTCTTTTATCTTTTATATTAATATGTGATGACAAATACAATAAATTTACTGTTCTTAGTTTTTTTGTAAAGTAAGCTTTAAAGATCAAATAATATTTTTAAATGTTCAAATAAAGAAGTTTCCATGAAATTTAGAATTTTGATTTAAGTACTAATTCTAAAATTTTAATTGTAACAATCCTGTTTGAAGCACAGGAAAAAGAATCCTGCTTAGTCCAGAAGAAATGAGAATGCCATACACACAACACACACACTCTTAATATATCTTCATCGCAACCATAACTTCAGACGGAGAGCATCTACTCCATTTAGATAGTACCTGAAGAGACGTTTATCGCGAACAAATCCCAAATTCTCATATAATCTAAGTGCAGGCTTATTCGTAATTTCTGTTTCTAAAACAACCTGAAAGGAAACAAAATTATTTATAAATAATTATTTTAAAAATTTCTTTAGAAGTGATATATAAATTAAAAATGCAACAGACTTATTTTAAGGTTTAAAGAGGAAGAAATAAAAAAACTATATATAAAATTAATGGCTTAGCCAAAATTTACTTAAGATAGTATATTAAAGTTGGTCCAAGTATTTGATGTGTTTGGAATTAATATTTACAGTTTTGTACGTAGTGATATTTTAAATTTTTTTTAAATATTGATGCACAGAAATACAAACTGATTCAAAGAAACATGTATATAGTTCTTAATGAAATAAGATTTGAATACCTAAAAAGTATGGTCCAGACAGACCTCCATGGACCCTCCCATAGCCACATATACAAAGACAGATCCAAGATCAAATCTTGAAAACAATTTTTAATTTGTGTAATAAAATAATTCTATCACTAATAATTGCTTAAAATAAATAAACTTAAATAACATAAAAATTTAACAACAGTTAATGTAATTAAGCTCTTGTTAACAATAAAAACCCTTACAGAAAACAATTGCCCATTTGGATTCTATCCCTGGCACATGCACACTCAACCATCATATTTTCTATTATATTAATATAAGATAAGACTTTTAGATAAAAATTTATCTAAAAAATCAAACTATGCCTAATAAGGTGATAGTCAGTTGGAACAGACTTATAGACTACAATTATCATGTTAGATAAAAATGCAAATACAGATAGCCCTTGGTTTATGCCGGTTCAATTTACACTGATTCACAATAATGCCGCTGCGAAATTCGCTGTTTCGCTGTGTAATTTACCGATTTTCCCTATGCTAGATTTGACTAGATTTTGTCCAGATTTGACCAATCCTAGTGAGCCACGAGTCCACTATGACACGAAGTGTTGTGGCAGAATTGTGGGCTGTTGGGATTGGTCAGATCTAGACCAATAGAGAATGTTCCACGAACTGTTAGATTTAAATGAGCTGCAGACCAGACATAGAGCTACAGAAGAACAACAAAGAAGAAACTCCAAGAATTATGAAAACAGCCGATCTAAAGCATATCCTTTCAACTATGGAAAGTTTGACAGATGAACTTTGTGAGTTATACAATTATTGGGAGCGAAGTGCTAATGTAAAAAGGAGCATCATCGCATCCATTTGACCATATTCTGAAATTCTTAATGAAAGAAAACAAAAATGTAAACAATTAAAGATGGATACTTTTTCCGAAAAATGTAAGAGATCCGAAACTAAAAGTTTTTAATAAAAACATTTCACTTTATTTTTTGATAAAATATATTTTAAGAATTAAATTTATATGTATTTTGTATTATATTGTACTAATAAATAAAATTATTTGCTTATTTTTCACTTATGTAGAACCTAACCTTATACCTCACTGCAAATATGGTTTCATTTTATGCTGATTCGATTTGTGCCGGCTTTTGTAGTAACGGAACTGCAGCATAAACCGAGGGCTACCTGTATTCTAATTTTGACAGTTGTCTTTGAATGTAATAGATATCCTAATTATACATTACTAGATGAAGAACAAGATATTTTTATATAAAGAAAATAATATTTATCCTAACCGTTTCCCAAAACTCAATGATTTTTCTAACAACTTATATCATCTGTATTTCTACTATTTTAGTCTAAGATTTGTTAGGGTGGTGTTGATGATGATAAGATAGCCGTTATTGGTTTTTTTTTTATGCAAACAGAGCTAATGCAAGAATCAGACTTGTTAGTCAAACTTGTTGATTTAGTAAAAATTGTAAAAGTTAGGCAAAGAAAACACAACATAGAATGAAACTTCACTTAAAGAGTAATCAGTTTGAATTAAAGCTGAATTAGCATAAACTCAGACTGTGTCTTTCAATCTTTGCAGATGGAAGTACATAAACTGTATGGATGAAAAGTGGCAATTGCAATATTTTTATGAAACCAGATGAAATAAATTTGTTGGAATAACTAAAAGGTATAGTCTAAACATGTGAAAAGTTCTAAAATGAATAATTGTCAATTCTTGAAATATTTAGATCTAGAAATGTGTAATGGTGTTACCTATATTTTTGTATATATTCTTTTTTTATGAATATTGCATTCTTGTGCCTGAAAATGATTGTTTAAACTTATCAGAAATACTTGCCAATAAACTCTTTTTATCAGCTATCATGTAAAATTTAATTAATTACATAAAATGGCAAAGTTATAACAAAATCTGATGAAAATTTATGATTAATCAGTATTTGACAATATAATAAGTGTTTTGCTGTAAAGATGATTTTTACAATGTAATTTTAGAGTTTCTCTAATATTCATTTATTTACATTCACAGAAGCTTACCTTTCTAACAAGCCAATATAACAAAAGCTCCAGCATACAAATTCAAACAGTTTAAAATGCTTTTTAACAACAATCTTGTGAAACTATAAATGTAATCCTACATTAATATAAAGTGAAACTGGCCTCATTCAGTGAAATTTAAATTCAAAATTTAACTATAAATGCCTACAGAACAAAATGGTATTTTAAACAGTTCATTTTTAAGTGCCATCTGCCAACTTTTGTAGATTATTTTTATATTATTATTAATTGCTCTCCTAATTTTAGATTATAATGCTTTTTTAATCACACTATAGATTATTTTTTAGTAAAAAACTATTTTTTAAGAAACAAGTTAAAACAAGAAAATATAAATACTCTTTCAAAAGAATTTATTTTCAAAGAAATCTTTTCTTTGATGTGCTTTGTTAGCTGCTTTTGACATCAAATAATTAACAATGCTACAGTACAGTGGGTAATCGATTAACAAACAATCCGTTGAAAGACAATGTTCACTACCCAATTAATATGTTCTGGAAATCCCAAAAAATAAATAAAAAATTATATAATTTCTTAATCTGTTTATTTATATGTAATAACAAACTAAAAACAATCTCTCCATTTTTTCATGGATGGCATCATTGTTTTTCAGATGTGATTTTCATTACTCCTTTATCTGCTTGAGTCTTCTTGATTATATCTTTCTTAGCTAAGATTGTGCCTACTGTAGACCTGTTGAAGCAACACTGCCTAGCAACACCAGACATCATCTACCCATCTATCTTGGCTATTATCTCTTGCCAAGTTTCTATAGTGAACATAGTTCTTGACAATCCACTCTTTTTAGACCCCATAATATTATCATTTTTTTTAAATAAAAAGGTCAGAAAAGCGTACAAAAATTCAGAGAATAGAAATCTAGTGCAAAAAGACAACTGTGAAAGTCTTGTTACAATCTTAAATGCACCATTGCTTCTTCTTGTGTTTGTTTGTTCTGTCAGGTATTCCTTATCTGAACATAAAAAATCTTTTGTGAAAATGTTTGTTATCCGAGTTGTTCGTAGTCCAAACTGTTTGTTAACCGATTACCCATTGTATATTGTTCCAAAACATTTCCTTTTCCTACGTTAGAAATAACTCTTAACTCATATCTCATAAGTCTTAATCATATGTTTGCTAAGCATGCAAAAATTTTTAAGTTTCTGTTGCCCAGATGATGTTCGGCCATTGTGAATTGCCTAGTTGTTGTGTACCAGTGTGAATTAATGAGGATTTCCTGTAGTAGTAGTCAGTCAGTGTGGGTGCACTGACAATCTACCCTGACCTTGAAAGATAACACATTACTCTTGAATTTCATACAAAGTGAACCTTAATCAGTATAAGTTGCCATAATTTATAGTAAGTTTGTGAAATTTGATATGTTTTATTTTTGCATTTCTGGATCAAATTACAATAAAATAAACATTAAAAAAAAGCACTTTTGGCATTCCACAAATATTTTATATCAATAGAAAGAAGACAAAATGCATGAATTAAACATATAATTGTAGTTTTTGATGTAATGCTACAGTTTCACAATTTTAGAATAAAAACTGATGCCTAAAAGATGTCATGTGACATAACTCATTTGCTTTTTCCACATGCCCTCTGGAGAGGGATGTATAACCTCATTTAAACTGGAATGCTGACATTCCCCCAGGATAAACCAGCATGCTTGTTTTTATCATAAGAAAATATCTGATTTCATGGTCTCCCCAGATAGACCAACATATCAAACCATCCATGAGAATACAGTAATATATTAACATAAACAACACAAAGCTAATATTGTTTACAAAAGTTGTTAGAAATTACAGAAATTACAAAAAAAAAAAATGTGCAGAGGTCTGGAACCACAAATAAGATTTTGGCCAACTGACAACATAATTGTCATTTCCTTACTCAATCATCCATTACTGTAGTATTGATTAATATCACTAACAAGTTACTTTTTAAATATATATAGAAAAAAATCCTTCTATTGTCACATTATATCTGTATATGATATGATAACTGAAATGTAGCTAGTAATGTGATTAATATTTTTATGTTGAATATGACATTAATCTAAATTTTAAATATGTTATTTTATTTAATACATTCCTACTTAATTTAAGTCTAAATTTTCTGCAAGTAAAATTACAATTGTTTATTTTACTGAAAATCTTACAATTATTTTGCAATAAAAAATTTAATCTGTAATTAATCCTTAAAATGTAGCAGAGCACTGTTTACACAATCTTAAGAAATCAAACCAAAAACACTAATTAAATTTCAATTATATGTCTTTTCAGTTATACAAGATGTAACAGAAGATAGCAGAACTAATAGTTTTATGACAAACTAATTGTATTACAGCTTTCAATATTTCAATGTTTACTTTTTATATTTATTATAAGAAATGATAAAATTTTTTATTGCACACATTTTCTGAAGTTGTAAAGATCAGTAGTTTAGTAGTAGAATTCATGTACCAAGTAATTTTAACTTTTTCAAGACAAATATCAAAATAGAAACAAGTATTATATTATAATTTAATTTTGCTCTTACAGAATACTACAAATGTGTATATTTTCCCTATATTGTAATCACTTCACCCACCATTAGTTAAAAATCTATAACTAATCCCAACTCATTGAGAGATAACTCTCTTGGTAGGATCAATTTTACATCATTTAATTCCAAAAACAAAAAGAAATGCAAAAATAGAACAAAATGTTTTTTAGAAATTCTCAGTATATTTTCTAAAAAAATATTGCAATATCTTTATCAGAAGGGAAATGATTTATAAATAAAATCCCATTATGAATTTAGATGTACAGTAAGACCCTGTTTAACGCGTGGGATGTGTTCCTAGATGACAAAGTGCTAAACGAAACAGCATTAAACGAGACCATTTTAACATAGAGTAAATAGGGATAGGGCAGGGGTCGGCAACCTGTGGCTCGCGAGCCACACGCGGCTCTTTGGATGTGAAGCTGCAGCTCTTTAGTTCCATACGCAAATATTATTTATTTTATCAAAAAAAAATTTTTTAAATTGTTCTGAATCGATTAACGAGGATTAGGCACTAATTCTATCTCTCAGCCACTTGTACTCGCTTTTCACCGTACCCCTCCCCCATGACATGCATCGTCACTGTCGTCAGTTCGTCGGAAGCTCTCGAATGACGCCATCGTCGGATGTTTCTATTATCTAATTTGTTGTGAAAAACACTACTTATATATGAATAAATAGATATTTTTCTTATGAATAAATAGATTAGTTTTTTTTATCAAAAAACTTTATTTATACGAGTACTATTTATTGTTGGCAAGAAAAAATTTTGTGGCTCTTTAAAAACTTTGAAATTTTGTAAATTGTAATTTTGGCTCTTCCGACTCAAAAGGTTGCCGACCCCTGGGATAGAGGAACGCATGACCAAAAAAAAGTTTACTTTAATTTTAAGTTATTTTTATATTAATTTGTATAATAATATATGTTAAATAACACATAAACATATACACACAGAAATGTATAATAATATATTAATTAGTTCATTTTTTGTGATGAAAGTACTGACTTTTCTGAAAATCTTGTTTTTTTGCAATAAAGCTGTGAAGTTTCATTTGTCGCTTTTTTCTCTCTTTAAGCAAATGTCGGTAACAGAAGATCACATCTAAAACACCTTGTTTTGCTTTTGCACTCCTTTCAAAATATAAATCATTCGCTACAATTTGATCAACAATTTCAGTTATCATTACCAAACTTTTACTAAAAGAAATCTGTGGCAAGTTTTTTGAGTTCTTCGTTTTCAGAGGCTCTATTTTCAAGTTCTACATGAAATTCCTTGTTCTGCCAGTTCTTGTAGTCAACGTTGGTAAGGCTCTTACCAGAAACCTACAGTAACTCCCCAATATCCTGCTCATCTACATTACATCTCCTGTATCGATTAAGTTGACAATTTGGTCAACGTAACGATACAGTGATAGGCTCTTCTCGTTGAGAATTCTTGAATACCTTCAGCCATAATTTCTTCCACACTCTGTTCATGCATTTATCAGTTAATTCTTGCCAAGCCAAGTCACTATTTCCTATGGCATCCATAATGTTATATTCTTTCCAAAATTCCACAAAACAAACATACATTTAAGAAAAGTACAGTGCTATGACAAATTGCCACCTTTTTCTGATTGGTATGTGTTTGGGAATAATCATATTATATATGAATCAATGAAACACTGCATTAATTTGAATCAGTATAAATTTTGAGCATTTTTTTTAGGCATCAAGTAGACTGCGTTATATTGAATCAGCGTTAAGTGAGGCAGCATTAAGCAGGGTCTTACTGTATAAACAAAACATTTCATCATTGAAAGAAATTGGAATGTTTTCAGACAGACAAAAAGAAAAAAAAAAGTGAAACACATTAATAGTGCTCCACTGCAAAAGCAGCAACATTGAACTTTCAATCTTCTTAATAGTTATTTTTAATTTCCTATAAATTTTAAGGGCTTGTTAGACCACAGTTTTCAATTAAAAACTGAAGTCTGATGTCCTTAAAATTATAATAAAAATAGCTATTAAGAAAATTAACTAAAATATAGGACCAAAAAAAGCAAATAATTATAACTGAATTTTCTTTTAACAAGAGCCTATTAAATTATCAATAAAAAGCAAATTTTAAATTGCTTATTAATTAATGATTATAAGAATGATAGGTAAATGATCACTTAGATAAACCTGATGGCAGCACTTCCAATCACTATCTTGTTTGTGAATGCTATGTCCACAAACAAGACGCAAACAACATAAATACTAACAAAACTGTATTGTATAGAAAAAAAATTTTGTAATCACAATTAACATAATTTTATATATTTTTCTTCAATTTCTTCAAACTAGAACATGATTCTTCAAAATCTTTAGTAACTACAACTTGTTTTATCTTACTTGACCTTTTCCCATACTTTTAACACATGTTTCATCTTTTCCTCTCTCAATTTTTAGATTCTTCTGACCTGTCATTTACTTTACATACAAAACATGAATTACCATCTCGACAAATTCCACCAACAACCCACCTGATTACTTTCAAAATCCTCCCTTTTTCGTTTTTCCTTTTACTCACAATAGTTTCATTAATTTCAATAATCTTTCCAGGTCCAACAATTTTAATTTGGGATAAATTATACAAGGTAATCATCATAACATGTCCTATGAAGTCTGCCAAGTCAACAGTTGTATGATAACTCATCCCCAAAGCCAAACATGTCACACTCAACGCACACACTATGCAAATTAGATGTCAAATGAAGAAAAAATAATTCCCAATGAAATTTTCCTGAATTTACCTTTAAAGGTTCCATCAAATGGCAAACTACTCATCTTGCATTTGTGACATCGAAAAAAAATTGAATCAAGATCCTTTCTATAAATTAATTTACAACAACCACTGCATTTCATACAATCTGCATCTACAGGTTGTAAACCGAACTTTATGGCAAACTTGATATCTGACAAAATTCTTTTGTCAACAACTATGTCAGGAAAATCTAACTCTAAATAATGAAAAAAATCCTTTGAGGTCCACTTTTGCCATAAAAAGTTTTCACCTTTAAGTAATTCCAACATTACAACAATAAAAACAAAAATATTAATTATTAACTCCAAAAAAATTATATACAAACTCCAAGAAAGAAATTTTTGAAACACAATAATAAAATAACACTGAACAAGTTTACAAATTGATTTTAAAAAAATAATCTAAAAACCTAACGATATTAGAATTGTTGAAAATCATTGACAGCGACACCTACATTAAAATTCAAAAAAGACATGTTGTCGTGATTCCAGAAGTGCCACCATCAAGTTTACCTAAGTGAACATTTACCAAATGATTAAGAAAAACTACTCAATATTTCAATAAGAAATAATTTTTAAATCTTAAATAATCTATTAAAATTAGTCTCTTATAAAATGTATTTATTAATTTCTAGAAATTTTATTATATATTTCTTGATATAATAATGAAATTATTATATATTTCTTGATATAATAATGAAATACATTAAAAGTATTCTATCTAACTTTCAGGATATTAATTTTAAATTAAATGTAAATCAATTTTTACAAGTCAATAAAGTTTATTATAATGCTAAAGCATTTATGGACCATTTGTTCTTTCATTTATTCTTGAATATATTTTGTCATTTTTAACTTTGTTAAACATAAATATTTTTGTATAAAGTTTATAAATATATTTATTTATTCATTTGTATTAATATCAAATAGGTTCAGTGTACTATTTTTCTCATACAGCTACATTTTAGAACACACATAGTAAAAAATAATTTTATGCCTCTCTTGGGTCTATCTGATCATTCTATAGCCCAAATCATATTTCCAAATAGCAGTTGAATAATATGAAACACTAACATTATGACACAACTACAAATACTTCGGTTAGAAAATAGTGTCTGTATATCATATGATTGACTTTTGACAAATAATTTGACAACAGTATGCATCAAGAAGCTAAAAACAATGAATGGCCCAACTCAATCTATGGCCCTGCCAGAGTTGGACAATTGAAGGCAATCAGAGGAAGATCCTCTAGTCATAATAATAATGATAAAAGTTGCTCATACAAACATTTTTACATTAGAAACTTATGGATAAATATTAAAAAAGTTTAATATTAACATAACATGAAAAATTGATACATATTTGGATCAATTTGTTTTCCTCTAATTAACTATATTCGAGTCTACATTCAAATTTCTTAAAACTTCATTTTCAAACTATTGCGAAATAAAAATTTTAATAAAACATTTAATGAAAATGTAATTTTACCTCATCAGCTTCATCTCTAATCATTGCCTGAATAGCTTTTAGGACAAGATTTGAACCTAAAATAAAAAAAAATAAAAAAAACAGAATTATTATGCATATCTAGATACATAATTAAAACCAAAAACATAAAATTGATAATAAATTAAAAATGATGATTCTATTATTATACTAAAAGTTACTATCATATTATCAATCTTAAAAAAACTATTAATATAAAAGTTTATTTCTTGTGGAAAACAGAACTAATTGAATTTAGAAAAAATTGTTAAAATGCATTCATCTGAATTTACAATTTGTTCTGTTATATGATCAAAAAATATATAAAAAACTGACAATGACACTAAAACTGAAACAAGTGACAACTTGTTTCAGTTTTAGTGTCTTTTGCATCTAGTTACTGGAGTTAGCTATTATTTCAGTGTCTAAGTATGGAACAAATTAAAATTTATATTTAATGATTTCAACATTTTAGGCAAGAGTGGAGAAGAAAATAGACCAAAATGTGAGATTGCCAAAGAATATGGAACACTGCTGATATAGTAATAGTACTAAGAAGAGTAATTTGAACTTTTGTCCATATCGAGAGTTTACAGAAAACCTGCATTTTGGAGAATCCTTGAAATGCATGCATTTTGCAAAACAGTTCACTACATGCTACTTTCTCTTTTAGAGTTTTATTTTTTGAAATATGATATATATTGACTAAAAATTATCCAAATTTATACTGAAAGTTAAAATTAACTGTATTTTTTAAACACTAACTTAAATAAGAATTTTATAACAATGGTTTGAATTATCTAATAATTCAAATTACTCAAATTTGATTTTACACCTAACAGTACTTGAGTTGGACAATTTCAGTTTAACATAAGTGGAAAAATGCAATAAAACTTTGTTTTATATGACAGTTCCAGTTTAACACAATATATTTTTCAGTGACAACTAGATGGCTAAGGTGGTAAAAGTACCAACTTCTTTGAAGATCTGAGTTCAAGTTCAAGTCAGGAACATCAGAACTGTTCTGTGATCCTGTTTTGGATATGTTGGGACTCTTTTCTTCACTACTAGCCATCCCATTGTGGACATGGGAAAAAGGCACTTACACATTTTTTTTCAGAAGTCAATAAATAAATATAGTCAGAATTTCATTCAGAATTCTAGATGTCATTGATAATGTAAAATAATGGCACCTATCAAGCAAGAGAAGGCTTTCTGCATCTTGGAATTCATTAAAATAGAATCTGTAACAACTGTACAACATAATTTCTGCATACATTTGCAAAGAAACCCTCACTAAGACTCTGTTTTAAATTCCAGGAGGAGGGTTGCTTGTGCAAAGAAAAAAAAGCCCTTGACTTCTGAAAAGACCTAAATGAATTCAAACTTTTTTCCAGCAGAGCCTGCAGAAATCCACAAGAAAGACAAGTTGTGAGTTAATGTGTTCCATACAATAATTTGGCATGTGATACACAAGTCACATTATTTGAATGAACTAAAGAATTGAATAAATGAGGCTTTAACTACTGTCTTGCAGAATATGCTGGTGTATGTTTGGAAAGAATTGAATTATTGGTTGGTTGTTTGTTGTGACCAGTACACATAATGAATCATTATAATGTCATAAAGTTTTTCCAACAATACAAGTTTCATATTGCAAACACCTGTGGTAGTCCAGAAATAAATTTTTGAGAAGTGTCAAAATCTTTTTAAAATACACTGCTCACAAAAATTAGAGCATATTTCAAAATGAATATGAAGCAATAAAAAAAGAAGCATTTGACTTTTTTTTTTATTTAAACAAGATCATCAGAAAATCACAAATCAAATAAAAGTCAACGAAAATGCAAAATCAACTTTTATTTCATGCACTATACAAAAGGCTGAAAGTGCTGGCATATCTGCATGTTCCCTGATCTGAAAGTGCACATTCTACAATTTCTCAGCCCTTGCAATGCCCCTGCAACATGATTTGCCCGAATGTGAAGCCTAGAGAGCCACAGAATGTCTTGAAGCTGGTCAAACACAGATGACAGTGGCAACAGCACTTGGAACATTCCAAAGAGTGATTAGTAGACTGTGGAATCATTTTCAAGAGACTGCCATAGTATGAAGATGATGAGGGCAGGGTTGCCCATTCCCCACAACAGCAATAGATGACCACTACTTAATCTTACTGGCAAGAAGGAACAGGCACAGCAATGCAACAGAGCTGCAGGGACAGCAAGAGTAGCAAGAGACATATTGGTGGGGTGAACAGAAGTATTTCAAACTGGATGAAAGTGCCACGCATTGACCGTTCAGTAGGGTGTATAAGACTGCTAAACACAGACAGCAATGGAGCATGGACAGTTTCTTGCTGCCACTAGACGACAGATATGCACCCAGACCATACGAAATTGGCTCCATTGTGTTGGACTGCATGCCCAGTGACCAATGGTATGCATTTTATTATCTACTGAACACCCACAGAATCTGTAGAAGTGGGCTGAGCATCGTCACTGGACCTGTGATGCATGATTAGCTGTCCTCTTTTCTGATGAGTCACAGTTCAGTCTGCAGCCTGACAATCATTGTGTCCTGATCTCACATGAACAAGGAACAAGGGAGAATCCATGTTTCATGCAAAAAAGGGACTCCTTCAATGGTGCTGGAATCATGGTGTGGAATGGCATCAGCATTGGTGGTCATACCAACCTCCATGTCATCAGAAATAAATTGCTGACTGCTGTCAGATATCAAGATGAGGTTCTGCACCCTACAGTGGTACTCTACGCTAGAACAATTGGAAACAACTTTCTTTTCATGGACAATAATGCAAGACCCCACCATGCGCATTTCGTCAACAACATGCTTCAGGAAGCAGGAATTGAACATATGGACTGGCCTTCACATTCTCCAGATCTGAATTCCATTGAACATGCTTGGGATGCACTGAGAAAATGTCTGGCAAACCATCCAATGCCTCCCACAACTTCTTGAGCTAGAAGTTGCCCTGGAGCAAAAGTGGCAAAGGATCCCACAAGAACTGCTGGACAATCTGATCCTGTCTATGCTCCATTGCTGTCTGTGTTTAGCAGTCTTGAGTGAGTCTTAGCAGTCTTATACACCCTACTGAACGGTCAATGCATGGCACTCTCGTTCAGTTTGTCATGCTTCTGTTCACCCCACCAATATGTCTCTTGTTACTCTATCATGATAATTGAGTTTGCATCTCATTTGCATAATCAAATAACTTTCTTTGATTTGTCGTTTGCTTTTCTAATGTTCTTGTTTAATAAAAAATTAAATGCTTCTTTTTTTTTATCACTTCATATTCATTTTGAAACANAAAAATTAAATTATTAAATATGTTTTAATTGTACACTATTTATACAAAAACTTCATAATAATTTCATCAGAATAATTTTAATTTTTTACTAAAGCCTAGTGTCCTATATATATAGGACGGTCCATTTCTCAAAATGCTATGAACCGAATGTGACCGAACAAACAAAGTACAATTAAATCCATGAATATTCTTGTCTCGTTTTAGACGTACCATTTTTTAAAATATTTATTGAGCTTAATTTTTCGTTTTCTCTCATATTACTTCATATTATCAACGTTTTTACGCAGAGTCAGGGTGGCGATACTTCGAGCCTTAGGCAAAACTCGTGACCCGGTCATTGCCAATGAGAAAATAAATTTATTTAGTGTATTCACATAAAAGCATAAGAGTTATTACACTACAACTATATTCACTTTGTTCGCTAACCATTTAAATTTAATTAAATATAAAGGAAAAACATTAAAGCTCTTTACCAAGTCTATCAGACAAAGTCATATATCACACTTTTTTCTTGGTTATACAATTATTAATACGTACTCCTATCCCTCTTTTTATGCAATTTTGAAATAATGCAGTTGACAAAAGAAAACTAAACCTCCTTTCGCATATTTTTTTTAATGTAAAAAAAATTAACAGTTTCTTTGAAAATTTAAATTTTTGTTAAAATTGTGTTATTCTTAAAAAATTTACTGTTTTTGTTGAAATCAAGAGTTCATTTATCTTTTTTTTAAGCACAGTATAGTACTGAATGTACATCAGAGAATACTGTACACTGATTTTATGTTTCCTATGCTATCTTGTGTTTACTATATTTACATACAAATAATGTTAACGATAAATGATGTTAGAATAAAAATCCTAGTTTCTTTTGTAAATTGCTTATTCTTTTTTGTTCCATTGAAGTTGTGGATCCTATAAAGCATTTTTCTACAGCAGGGATGGGCAACCCGTGGCCCGCAGTAATTTTTTTGCAACCTGCAGCACATAACATATGAATATATATATAAATCAATTTCCCAGCATAAGGAAGTATGCAGCAAAAATTCAAATGTTATTTTCTACAACTTATGTATGTGAATAGTTCGATCTGCCATAGGATAATATTGGATTGCTTATTTTGTAGTATTTTTAATTTTAATGAGCCAACTTTAGCTGCTCAGTGTTTGCATCAAACCTTTTAAAGACATCAGAAAAGAATACGAAAATTAGTTACATTTGGAAAACCACGCTTTAACCGCTTCTGGGAAAATAGGAGGAGAATGCTTCAAAAATTGCAAAATGGATATCTGTCACCTAGAAAAATTTCCCAGTGAAATAATTCATTCCATTAAAAAATGCTGCATTACAGATGCAATGAATGGCACAGAAGTTGACTTAGTTTGGGAAATGACAACACCAACACCAATTCCAAAGTCAGCTGTGATAGTGCAACCGTTAAATTGTTTTCACAATATGATAGTGATAGTGAGAGCAATTAAGATTTACTTTAAATTATGTATTTAAGATTTTTCACTCCTTGTTACTTCTCATTTTTTGAACTTCATAAATAAATCTTATTACCAGTATTTTTTATTTTTTTCACAAAGACCCGTTGAGAAATTAAAATGCAGGTTAGAATCAAATAAATATTAATTCAAATATTTAGTACAGTTAATTTCAGATAATTTGTGTTCAAGACTAATTTCAAAATGCTGTCTATTCTAAACTATTTCTATAACTATCTATGGT